TAAATGCACCTGTACCACAAAATTTGACTGAGTTGAGAGCATTCATAGGTATGCTGAACTATTACTCGAAGTTTATCTCAAATTTCGCACATAAAATGGTGCCTTTATATTGATTACTACAAAAAAAATGCAGCTTTGTTAAAACAAGATGTAACTTCTGATAATGTATTAACGCATTTTAATCCTTGTTTTCCAATTGTTCTATGACGCTTCCCTGCAGGGAGTGACGTTAGCTTATACCTAACTTTAGTCTGTTTACGCGAACACTAGTGCTAACTATTAACTGTGTATTTTGTTCGAAAAAAGCTAACTTCTTTTGTGGGGCGATGGCCGCAAAAAAGTCAGACCTGGATACCTCTGCATTACATGTCAACTAACTTGTAACTAACTACTTTTGGACATAAAATATCAATAAGAAAAACAAAATATTTTTTTTATTCTTTACTTTTTTATTTACTTATTTATTTACTTTATTTTATTACATTTCATATTTGTTTACATATTCGAACACCGTCAGACATAACTTCAAAATGATAGTATAAAATTTCGATCTTCCTTTTATTTGTCCTGAATATGAAAATGAATCTGCGAAGAAGTGTATTGAAAGTAATTTTTGTATGAGGATATTTAATAGAGACTTGTAAAGAAAACCAACTCCCGATTGCGTCTGCATGACTCCTGCACGACTTTACAATTCACTTTAAGTTGGTTTTGTCATAGCTAATTAAAAGTGAGGCATTAATCGAAATCTCGCCAAAAAGCTAACTATAAGTTGGTTAGTTTTAACAATTGATAATTTTTCACTGCAGGGTTATAATGTGTCAGTGGGAGGCATTTTGTCTCACTCTCTGTCAAATGGCTTGCAGAAACCAATAGCGTTTGTATCACGGGCCCTTACAAAAGCGGAGTTAAATTATAGTACAATTCATAAAGAAGCGTTGGCTATTGTATTTTGCGTCCTTAAACCAGGGCACTATCTGCTGGGTAACCGCTTCACCTGGC